TTTGTCTAGCCTGGGTCAGAACTTATAGTTACCAATTTACACGGAGAATTTCAGGTTTAGAATTTCTTTTACTTTTCCATGAAGGTGACATCAGCTTCTATTGTCAACAATGCTGTTACTGTCACTTCTTTAACTTATCTATTTTTTTTTAAGTTCCTCATCCCCAATAATCATATCACAGTGACATTGATTTTACAGTAAATTAATAGGGTTATTAGATATGGAATTTATATTTTATTTTAAGAATTAGTAACTTCCTCTTTTTTTTAGAGTAGAACAGAAAAGAAATAGTGGAGGTTCCATGTATTTAAAATGCAGTTTAAAAAAATGCCAAATTAGTTTCATACAAATTTCCTATTTATAATAGAATTAACTATAATAGAGGGTCATAAATAATAGATATTTCCAAATATCCCCAACTAATGGAAACATGAAAAAATTGTCATCCATTATAATATTAGAAAAGGTATTCTGATATGTTTGAAGGTAGATAATACATTTTACATATTAATATTTTAACATTTCATATTTATTATTACATTGCCTTTCACTTCTTTTTCATTTCTGATTTTATTGCTTTGGGTCCTTTCTCTTTTTTTCTTAATGAGCCTGGTTAAAGGTTTGTCAATCTTGTTTATCTTTTCAAAGAACCAGCTCTTAGTTTCATTAATCTTTGGTATTGTTTTTTTTTAAGTCTATGTCATTTATTTCCACTCTAATCTTTATTATTTCATTACTTCTACTTACTTTGGGCTTTTTTGTTGTTCTTTCTCTAGTTCATTTAGGTGCAAGGTTAAATTATTTATTTGAGATTTTTCTTGCTGTTTGAGGTAGGCCTGTATTGCTATGAATTTCCCTCTTAGAACTGCTTTCACTCCGTCCCACAGATTTTGAGCTGTGCGTTCATTTTCATTTGCCTCAAGGTAACTTTACCACCAAACCAGTATTACAAGAAATGTTAAAGGGTCTTCTTTAAGAAGAAGAAAGGGAAAATTAGAGAGAGATTGAGAGAGGAACATAGGTATAAAGAATAAAATGGCAATAAATAAAGAACCTATCAATAATTACTTTAAATGTAAATGAATTAAATGCACCAATCAAAAGACATAGGGTAGTAGAATATGGATAAGAAAACAATACCTATATATATGCTGCCTACAAGAGATCTACCTCAGAACAAAAGATGCACACAGACTGAAAATAAAGAGATGGAAGAAGATATTCCATGCAAATGGAAACAAACAAAAAAGCTAGGGTAGCAATTCTTATATCAGACAAAATAGACTTCAAAACAAAGACCATAACAAGAGACAAGAAGGACATTACATAATACTAAAGGGATCAATCCAACAAGAGTATAGACCCTTGTAAACATATATGCAACCAACATAGGAGCACCTAAGTATATAAAAAAAAATCTTGGAGACATAAAGGGAGAGACTGACAATAATACAGTCATAGAAGGTAACTTGAAACATCCCATTGACATCAATAGATAGATCTTCCAGACAAAAAGTCAACAAGGAAAAAGTGGCCTTAAACGACATATTAGATCCAATGGATTTAATTTATATTTGCAGAGCATTTCACCAGAACATTCTCATGGAACATTCTTTAGGATATATCACATCTCAGGACACAAAACAAGTCTTAATAAATGCCAAAAGATTGAAATAATATCAAGTATCTTCTCCAACCACAATGGTATGAAACTAGAAATCAATTACAAGAAAAAAAACTGAAAGACATAGAAAGACATGGAGGCTAAATAACATGTTACTAAACAATGAATGGGTTTACAGTGAGATAAAAGAAGAAATCACAAGCTATTTCTAGTTTTTAAAGTGTAACAATATATAATATATAATAACTATAGAGAGTAGGAAGTGTGAATCAATCATCTTTGTTAAACAGAAAAAATGTAAAGGTTTATATGTTCTACAATAGTGGTGAGCAAACTATGGCCCAGAGGACAAATTTGACTGACAACCTGTTTTTAAAAATAAAGTTATATTGGAGGAGAGCCAACCTTATTAATTTATATATTACCTATGGCTGCTTTTGTGCTACAATGGCAAAGCTGAGTAGTGACAGAGATCAAAGGACTCACAAAGCCCAAAACATTTACTAACTGGCCTCTTAACAGCAAAAACAAAAAAATGTTCTGACTCTGTTCTACAGAAAATTGTCCTTATGAACCATATTTAAATAACCCCACATATAAATTTTTCTCACTGAATGATGTCAAATTAATAATGTGCGATATATTATATGTATATTTTTTATGAAAAATCTGCATACTACAAGAGGTGAAATACAGAATTTCATAGCATTTCATGTTAATATTTTGTTTTATAATATAGGAAGCAGAATATCAAAATGTGCATGTTGACAGGAAAATAATTAGGGAAATTTTGATTTACTGACAATGTGACTAGCATGCACACAGAGAAGTGTACAAATGTCTCCTCTTAAAGTAAAACTAATATAGTTCTAATTTAGTTTGGCATGCAGTCCCATTGCTATCAATATTGTAGCTTAGCTTGCCTTAGTAAGCTCTTAACAGAAACAATTACCAAATAATTTTTACAGCTTTTAAATATGCACTAAGGCTGTTTTGATCTTAACTTTTAGACATTTCCTATTACAGAATTTTACACTTGAGCACAAATATCTGGCTCTTTCTTTAAAAATATCCTCTTCAGACAAGATGTGCTATAATTCTATGATATACAATATAAAATTGTACCAATGATAATACATTCTCACCAGTCAAACATTTCAATGAACTAAATATACATTTTTCTAGAAGGCATACATAACTTCAAATTATTGCCTGCCCCTGTTTTCCTACTCTGAAGAACTTTAACTGTAGAAAAATTGAAAAAAACCAGACTTCCCTTTATTATTGTTAGAAATTTGAGGGTAACTTAATTGGAAGCATAAAATAAAGAACCAATGTAGAAAAATGAAACACAAATGAATATTAAAATTTGAGTTTACTTTTTTAAAACAAAACTACATTTTAACTGTAGAATGCCTAGCTTTTGGTTTTTATTTTGGTGTATTTGCACTTTTGAAAAATAATGGGATCTTTTCCTTAAAGACCCCAGAACTCAACATTTTTCTAAAAAGAAATACCCAATAAACTTTCAAGTGTCTTTTCAGGGCTGTATTATACTTCTTGTGGGCTGTATCAATAGCGATTCTATTTAACTGCTTGTGGGTGGCATCTATTCCAAAAACTTCTTCCATAAATGTACATTACAACTTCTGAGCATTACCTTTATCTACTCATTTCTCCTTGTAACTTACTGCTTAATCAAACCTCATGAAAATGTTGATTACTAAATTGAAGGCATGAATACGGTTTGAAAGGAAATCGTATTTGACATTCCCCGTTAGTTTGGTGCTACTTTTCTCTCAAGGACTGCTCAACTGGGACAAAGTAGAATAGACCCAAAACAAAAAGTTTTATTCTATTTGTCCAGTTTCTAGTCCTGCTTACCCTTCAGTGGTTTCAATCACTTTCTAGCTGGCTCCCTTTAAGAAGAAACCTAATCTCATAATAGAAATAAAAGCTCAATTGCTGAGTACTCCATAAGTGTTAGCTCCCTTCCTTTCTTATATTATTCTTTACCCTCTCTCCCTCCCTCAGGCTTTCCCAAGTCAGAATTGCTCCTCTCACCCAGCCAGACTTTTTTTTTTTAGTAACAGAGCTTTTAAAGCTGGTTGCGTGGGTTCTGCAGGAGGAGGGACAGAACGTGTGACCAGGACTCTCTCACTGCGTCTCCAAGAGAAAAAGTTCCCCTTTGATACTTTTCAGAACTTATTCACTTTTTAAGTGTTTTTTAAAAGTGACATTTTAAAACTCTTGCCTATACCCGTTAAAATGATAATTACCTTAGAATGCAGTTCCTCATTATGGCCCTCATTTGTTTTCAGGTTCCTGGGCATCAGAAACAAAATCTTAGTACTCAGTTTCTATCTGGGTCAAGTTAATCTCCTTGTATAAAAAGCACAATGCAACTATTTATTGACTGAATAATAATGTGGATGGACTGAATGATTCCTAATTTAAGTGTATTTAAGTCTTAAATAACTTTTTAGTAGCAAGGACACTATGGTAAAATTAAATTTTTAGCAAGTTGTATAAATGTATTACTGTATTTGCAAAGTTTAATTCACTAGAAATAGCTTTAACAGTAAATATTTCTAAAATTATATATGTGTATATATACATATGTACACAGGCAGACATACACATTGATAAGTTGAGGTTTTCACTGAGATTTTCATGTTATAAATCTATTTTTTAAAATAAAAAATTTTGGTTAAAAGACTGTAGTATCAAAAGTTATTTTGATCAAGCCAAATTGACAGCTGAGGCAATCTGATATTAAGAGCTGAGTCAAGTTTATCTGATGGAAAAACCAGGAATTCTAAAAAATATTACAGACATTGGCAGTTATAGTCAAGTACTGTACAGTTAAAAGCAGCAACAGTTTGTTTAACAGGTTGCTCGGAATCAAGTGGAACTTACTGTTTTGGTATTTTGCCCGACATTTTTCCATTTACAAATGAATCAGTGCCCCACAGAAATAAATTTTAAATATAGTCAAAATGAGATGTCCTGATTGCACCACTGTATTTTATTAACTGGAATGATAGTATTCTTCAGTGGTACTTGTCTGACACTGGGTTTGTGTATTTCTTCACATATTTTGTGAAGTGAACACCCGCCAAAGCAATATCTGAATGATATTTATTCCAGATTGTTTCTATGTAGGAGCACAGTGTTATGCTGCTTGCTTCCTTGAAAGAATACAGAAGATCAGAAATTGTGAATGTTAAATACAAACTTGAGTTTCATTTTTTGAAATGCTACCTCAAAGGAGAATTTTAAAAACTGAAATTTACAAATAATAAAAGGTACTCCCAAACCAGAATTTAAATAAACCAAAAAGACTGTTTAAATCTTTAATCAATCCCTTGAGACTATTTTTTTTTATCAAACATTAACCATTTCTTTCCTAAGAAAGTGTCTAAAAATATTGACCAATAAAAATAATGGATCACCAAAATAGTTTAGTAATGAATCTTTTTTTTCATTTGTTTTGAGTGCTGCTTGTATTATGAGGCTTTGTAAGTTTATACGAATGGTATCTGAAGATCAAGTTCATTATTTTTAAGGTTGAGGAGGAGACTTGCTTGAGTTCCTTGACCAGAGAGAAGACAGCAGGGCCAAGGCCAGGGTTCCTGCTCTTTCTACAAAGTGCCTTCAAAATTCCTCCAAGAGGCCACAGGAGCTGTGGGGCTGTGGAAGGGCCAGTAAACACACTGCACCTGTTTAACATATTTGAAATTCAAGGTAAGAATGAGTTGGGGAACAAAACAATTCTGTTTCTAAAAAACAAATTTGAAAACCACTGTATTACCTTGTGTGCCATGAGGAAAAAAGAGAAATATTATGGGGACCCAAATCTGAAATGATGTCCTCGTTAACAGCTATCATGGAAATGCCTAGAAATTGCATGCCAAATAAGGGAAACGTAATTCTGAACGTAGTTTCTTTTTATACAACTAAAACTTGTTCATTTTTTTTTTTCTTATACTTTGGCTGTTTACTTAGGTTTTTAGAAATCTGAATGGTACAGAAATGAACAATGAATAAACAAAGTTTAGTAGAGAAACTTCCAATGTGTTTCAGAATGCAGGGACAGGTGGAGCACACGGAAAAGCATAAGGATAAACTAGTAAACACAAATCAGAATAATGGATTCCTAAATGGACATACTGAAAATAAGAACGCCATTTGGACTAAAAGACTCAGGAAGAGCTTTCTGGAAAAGAGGTGCTAAAGTAAGAATAGAAGATAAAGGAGATGGCATTCCTGGTGGAGAAAACAACAGAGGTTGGGGTGGGGAAAGCATGTTTATCAGAAAGAAAGTAGATTCAAATGGAGAGGAGTGTTGTGTTCAGTGGGACATAAGCTTGAGTTGGTAAAATGGGATTATATTGAAGCATTTCAAAGGCAATAGAAGATGCTGAATTTAAAGTACGCATAAGGGCAATATGGTAATAACTGGTACTCAACAAAAGGGCTTTAGTGCTAGTTGGCTGGCAGTGTATTCTGAATATAAAAGGAACTTTTTATTTTATTTCATTAAATTACTGGTAAGGGAAATTTAGGTGGTACTTCAAAAGATGCTAGATTGCTTTCATAGCATAAAATTATATATGCAATAGTAGACATACATGGACATTTAATACTGTTCTGACTATTGAGTTCTCCTCACACACACACCCGCCCAAATAAATAAAAGCTTAGGAAGCACACACCATTACCTACTCCATCTCATTCAGGTCAGATTTATATAATACATATAGTTTTTTATTTTTATCACTCCTTTATAAAGAATTTAGAAACTAATTTAAAATTTTTGCTTAATGTGTTATTGGTTTGAGAAATGATGTTTGAAATAAAATAGTCTCTCAAGGTAGTGTAGAAATATTATTTAGATTATTATGTAGAAATAATATTTAGAAATATAATTTAGATATTATTAGAAAAAAATGGTGCCTGGCTGGACATGGCTCAGAGGTTGAGTGTTGACCTAGGATCCAGGAGCTTGTGGTTCGATTCCTGGTCAGGGCACATACTTGGGTTGTGGGCTCGATCCCCAGTCGGTGGCGTGCAAGAGGCAGCGGATCAATGACTCTCTCTCATCATTGATGTTTCTCTCTCTCTCTCCCCGTCTCCCTTCCTCTCCCTGAAATCAATAAAGATATACAT